TTTATAGCACAATTAAACAGTGCCATGAGTCTTTTAAAGTTCCAGGTTTGGACCACAATGTTGGCTCAACCCAGAGAGCATTTTTTTATTTTATTTTTTTGTTATAAATAACTCTTAGAAATCTCTTAAAGGTTTGATTCACAGGAACATGAAATTAAGTTATACTTTTATTGATAGATATTGAAGTGTTATAGAACTACATCCTTTTCACTGCTTTGTGTCCACATGTTCTATTTATATCCTTAACGTTGATGTCCAGGTTATTACTCCGTTGGTTTTCCTTTGTCTATGTTTATCCAAAACAAAGAAGCGACGCATGAACCTGTGTGTTTATTTTCCGTGGGGCTGCAGAGGTGTGCAGCGGTGTCACGCTGCAGCAGAACGCTAATTGGAGTGGCCTCATTTAGCAACGCGTCAAGGAAAAAAAAATGGAGAAGCGTCAGGACGACACCGTGTCAGCGCCTCCACAAATCTCCTGCTCGCTCTCAACTTTAATGGCGTGTCAGACATCACAAGTAATGCGAGGGGGGTCACCGTGAGCCTATGCTTCACTATAACGAACCCCCTCTTTTCCGCGGCTCCAAACCCCTGGCACCGCGGTTGGAAAGCGGAGATTAATGTCCCAATCCGTGACGTAGTTAAATAAAATAAGTTAATTGATAAAAATACAAAAAAAGGCAACTATTGCTATATAGTGTAGCACTAAAACGCAAATGACAAAATACCTAATATAGTATATTTAATTGTTTCTTATTAATACAGCAAAACTCAATCTAACAAAGATAAATAAGTAAAAAACGTATTGCACGAGTGAAATGTTTACAACAAATTAACGGTTTGTATTGTTTGTAAATTAGTCAATCGGTAGCTAATTGGTATGTAATGTGCAAGAAAAATTTACTTTTGACATATCAACTTATTGCAGGATAAAATATGATCACAAACATGTGGGAAAAAAGATTAAGATTCGATAACATTTTGGTATATTTATCAAGATTTATCAAAAATTAAAGCACAATTATATTTCCACCTTTTATTTGTTGTTATCCACCGAAGTACAAAACTTCTGTTGTTGTTTTTACCAGTGCTGCAAATATTTCATGCCTTCACTCTGCTTTAAAGAAGAACCCTGCATGCAGAAAGTTTAAAGAATCCAAACTTTTGATGTTTCCCTCTTTGTTATGGTGAATAACGGGAAATTAAACAAACAATGGAATGTTGCAAAAAAACAAAAAAAAAAAAAAAAAAAAAAAAAAAATTAAGCATGGCTTTTAAGGGTAAAGTATCAGTTGGTCGTATATAGTAATAGCTAAGCATAAGTATATCAATTTTGATTTTAGAGATAGAAGATAAAATAATTGGTCGTCGACAATAAATTAATGTCAATATCTGGACATTATGCCACGTAAAAGCGTTTCATGCCAACATTATAATAAAGTAATGGTTTAACAAATGTCTGCACGCGAATGAAGTGCAGCGTGGCGTCCTTGATTTGAATGTGACCTTTTATTTAAAGGTAACGTAGCTGTTTATGTATGGGATTTTTTTTTTTTTTTTTTGCAACCTTTCAAAGTCTACAAATCGTATTTCTTCACAAATACAAAAAAAACCATACAAATAAATTTGATTGCAAATGTTAAATTAGTCGATTATTTAATCAAGATGACTATATTTGTTATACTTAGATCAATAAATATTTCTACAAAAAGATGGAACTATTTGGGAAATGTAATGTTGTGCTTTAAAGATATCTACCAAAGCCATCACGCTTGAAATCAGAACCTAAAATGTTTCCTTTCCTTTCCTTCTGAAACGTACCACGATAGCCTGCACATTTGCACCGACTCTTGTTTGTTTTCATATAGACAATTCCACCTCTAAATGTGTGAGCAGTAGCATTCTGATGCGCAGATAAGCCGCAGTCTGTGCCTTGCACCTCAGTAACACACACTCCAGGCTCGGTTTACTGGCCACAAGTGAAGTGCGGCTGATAAATATTCATGACGGTGGCGCTTATTGCGCCTTCTTCGATATCTGGAGCGGTTGTCATTTCCAGACTTGTGCGTAAATACATCTGAAGTGGATGTTTTGGGTTTCCCCCCTTACTATTTGAGCAGGTTGCCGTCAACACATCTTTTTACGAGTTTTTCGATTTCTTTGTAGTATGTGTGTGTTAGTTGGGTTATTGGGGGAGGTGGGGGGTTTGAGGGGGCGAGTGCGTGTGTGTGAGATAGAATGTCTGTAGGTTCAAAGTGTAAAATAATGGTAAAGATTAAGCAACACGTTGAAACCCTGATCTCTTGTGTGGAGTCCAAATTGGCACGCAGAGCCATGGGCGTTGCCAGACACTGGTTTACTGGGGTTCATGCCCTTGTAAAACCCAGAATCAAGTATCCAATAAGAAGTTGCGAACTTTTAAAATAAACCGCCGAGAGATTAACTCAAACTGATTACAAGCAAGCACAAATGCATGGAAATACGGACGGATTTTTTTTTTCCGGGCTGTTTCTCATTAACTAATGTATAATAATAAATAAATAAATTCACTGTAAACATTTAAAAACATTAAGGGCTGCTCCTGATCTGATCTCTGATCATGCACTGGAAAAAATCGAAATCTAGATAAGTCATTTTTTCTTTACATAAGTGCATTTGTTCTTGAATTGAGGAGGTATAAAGTGACATTTTGCCAATTGAACAAGACAATTTACATTTAAAATATGAAAAACACAATTGCATTGTCTTATTTCAAGTACATATTATCTAATTATCTTATTTTAAGAGTAAAAATACTCATTCCATTGGCAAACTATCTCATTTACCTACTTGAAATAAAGATAAATACACTTAATTTAAGAAATTCTTACTTATTTCTAGATCGTTTTGCAGTGTGATAGCTGTAGGATAAACTGAAAGATATTACTGTTGGTTTTGAAGGAAAATAATATTTTTTTATGTAATAATGAGACAATGGGAAAAGTTGGAGGTGTCTATGCGTTCTATGTTACATAATCAGATTTACATGCTTTATTGTAGATTTTAAACACAAAATGAAAAAAAAAATGTGCTCTGCTCTATAGCTGCAAACAAAAACTGCAGTCTCTAAAAGCAAGACAGGACTCTCTTTTTAACTAACCTCATATTTTCTCCCCCATTACTTTGCATAATCTTGTTTTTACAAATTCTAAAGAACATCCTCACTATGATAATTTCACTAAGTTGCACAACGGAATGGTACCATGACTTAAAGTAAAGCAGTAGTAAATCATTAGGTCGCTTTTGTTTGATTTTACGGTAAAACTGTTTTACAGCTGTACCACTTCATGTCAGAATATACATTTTACTTTGCGATTAATAGATAGGACCTGTTGGATAAATGTTACTGATAAGTACATTATTTGCATTAAAGCAACATTTCTGTTTCAACTCTATAAAAAGTGTACTGAAAAGATGTTTTTGGGGGGGAGTTGTTAATCCTAACTTTTTTCATGTGCATATTGATTAAAAAAAAATCAATGAAGTAAATGAACTCATAAGCACCTTACTATATAGCCTTGTGTTTTTATATTATGCCTGTATAATGTTTAGCTTTGTTTGCTTCTATTTCACTTTGCTGGTGTACCTGTTTTTTCTCTGTAGTGAAAAATAAAGTGCATTATATTCTTTCCTTTTTCCCCCAGATGGTGTCCAAATAGCATGTAAAAACTCCTCTCTAAATATGCTATTTGTTCTGCACACGTTGAAAAAAAGAAATCCCCCTAAAAACGACAACATTCGACTCAATTCTGCAGCTATATGTAAAAAAAGAATTCCTAACATAATTTTGAAAAATCAGCCCACAGCTTCCCTTTTGATCTCGATTTATAGGATAAATAAATGCATTTTGGCTGGATTTGTCAGTCATATTTTAATCAAAAAGAACGCGTCCACTTTAAACTATCTCAATTTTTTACCATTTGTTTGTTTTAATCCGTACAGCTGCTAACTTCCTCTGTCTGCAGAGTGCACATTTTCCCCCTGTCGCGGTGCGTCATTGGCGCATCTGCACTGGGACCAGATAGATAGATAGTGTTAAATAGAGTCGAAAAAAGCCATTTTATTGCCACCCTTCATTTATCTCCACGCGTAATAGTCCGTGAAAAGAAAATATGAATACATTTCAATACATTTTCAACATAATCATCTGAGATGAAGCTTGCTATGTGGCTATATGTTGCAACTTCTTGTTTTTTTTATTGTTTTTTTTTTTTTAATATAAGGGTTGACATTTTTGTTCTTTTTTTTTCATTTCTGTTGCATGTATCTGCAGTCTGACAGATAGCGGCGGATCCGTGCACCCTGGCAGTGTTAACCATGATCAGTGGCGGCTGCTGATGTGATCTCTGCCTAATGGGGCGGTCAAGCAAGCTGAAGCCAGTAACAATGAAGTGTGTGTGGGTGAAGAAGGGGAGGGTGGAAAGGGGGGGTCCCACATTGACTCCCAGGCTTTCCTTCAATCTCTCTCTCTCTATCTTAATCTACGATAGGAAGTCCGACGAAAAAAAAAACGCAAAAAGAAGAAAAAAAGAGAAAATAAATTAGATTTGAAAATTAGATTCCCGAACAATTAAGTAACACAAAATAGCTTACTCCGGTTTTATCCGCCGAGGAACAACAGCCGTGATTAATCGATTTAATTTGCGTATTACTGGAGGGCAGAGCGGTGGATGTTAATTTTGGATAAACAGAAGATCCAGGAGCAAGAGAAAGAGGGGGGAAGTGAATTTAGTAGTTATTATCGAGTGTCAGGAAAGTTCTCTCTCTCACACACACACACACACACACACTCATCACATTACACACATTCTCCTATCAACTCACACACACTTATAATGAAGAGTTCAACTTATTTCCCTTAGAATTCCTCCAAAGTAACTAAATTGGTATAAAAAAGAACTATTTTGGCCATAATTTTCCATATATTAAAAAAAATCAACCTTCAATGAAATGCATTTTTTGTATTTTTTACAGTCCTTTAATATAGTACGAAATGTATCCAAACATTTTTTCATTATTATTATTAATATTATTGTAAACTAAAATTTGACATACTGTACGAGCGCATTTCTCCATAAATACCGATCATTTCTAACATATTACCGGCCCTTGTACATGCGGATAAATGTGGAAAAACCCAGCTACTTTACATGGAATAATACTTCCTCTCAGACAGAGCAATTGACAGATTTTTTATATATATATTTAGCACGTACATGAACAGATTGACACGATTTTTTTTTTCACTACACGACTCATCGACATGACATTAAATAACAACAATGATACTCTGTGCTATTCAAACTGGACCTTAATTTGACGAAAAATTAAGAAAAAAAAAAAAAAAAAAAAAAAATAAAAATATGCTGCACTGGATAGGCTACAAAAGCACATTAATACTAAGAGTCGGTTAGGTCGACGTGTAGACTGTGATAATACTGAATATTTCACATTTTGGTACACAACTAGAAACATTCTTTCCCCCACAGCAACCTTAGAGGCCATTTTCATGTCTTCATGACATTTTAACAAATTCCTCCTTAAAACTGTGATATTTACAAAATAAAATATTACATTTCATTTTTTTTCTTTCTTGCTGTGTGCTCCAGTTCGGCAAAAATCCTTATTTACAAAAAAAATAAAAAAGAAAGAAAGAAAGAAAGAAAAGGAAAAATCAGGCCTCTACCCGCAGATAGCATGCTTTTTCTTTTGTGATCTGTTTCTGTGCAGCAGTCTCTCGGTAAAAGGAGGAGCTGTCCATGTTTCTGTCCATGCATCACGGCAGTCTTTAACTTCACCTCCCGTGCTTTTTTTTGTCCTCCGTCCATCTTTCTGATTTTTGTTTAGAAAGGTCGAAGTTTTTTTTTTCCTCTCCTCTTTTCATAAAATTTTCCATTGTCTTTTATGCGTTTTTCAAAAATATTTACACGTACCATTCATTGAAATTTGACGACAGCGTGCTGTGGCTGGCTGTGTGATGGACCGCTGAAGCTGCTGGTGATATGGAGCTGCTGCTCTGGTTCTCTGTGGACGGTGACACGATGGTGGGAGGTGTGGAGGACTCGTACCCTGAACTGGCCGCTGGGGAAGGCTGCGATCCTGGGTTTGTGGATTCGTGGACCTGCGGATATGAGAAAGAAGGGAAAATATTTGGTAGCCACTTGCCTTTTTTAGACAAAACAAACAAACAAACAAAAAAATAAATAACAAAAAAAGTAATAGGGTGCTGATTACTGCTGACGTGATTGGTTTGGACATCCGAAGAAATAGAAAACTCAATTAAGATCCTTATATGATTTTGCGCTTGAGAAAATATGAAAATAAAAACAAAATAAAAATCAAACACTGAAACACACACACAAAATCTGAATTTAGAAAAAGAAAAACAAAACAAAATTGGCAAAAAAAACAACAATCCTCAATAATATATACATCAAGTTTTTTTATATATATAAAAATAAAGAAAATGGAATCCTACTATCACAAATATATAGAAAAACAATCAATTTATGGAGCTTTTGTTTTTACCTTCATGTGTTTTCGGAGGGAGCTGGGATGCGTGTAAGACTTGTCGCACATTTTGCACAGATATGGCTTGTCCGACGTGTGGACGTGCATGTGTTTCTTACGGTCGCTGCTGTTTGCAAACCTCCTGTCGCAGCCGTCGAACTCACACTTAAAAGGCTTCTCACCTAATGCAAGACATGAAATACGATTTCTTTAAAAACAAGCATGCATACATTTAGAGTAAAAATAAACACAATCGAAAACCTTGCTTTGTGCATGCACTGAAGGTAATTGCTTGCAATCTAGTAGTGTTAAAAATCTAAGTTTGATCATTTGAAAATCTTTTGCAGTGAACTATTTTCTGTCGAGGATCATATGCAGTCTCCAGCTGAGCATCTGTAGTAAATAACCTGATCGCATGCACTTTTTGTCAGCTGCGATTTGGCAGGAGATTCTGGCATTTCTTACCGGTGTGAGTCCTTTTGTGAATTTTTAGGTTTTCCGATCGTGCAAACACTTTGCCGCAGCCTGGGAACGGGCACGGAAAGGGCTTTTCTCCCGTGTGAACTCTGATGTGATTTACAAGTTTGTATTTGGCTTTGAAGGGCTTCCCCTCTCTGGAGCAGTCCTCCCAGAAGCAGACGTGGTTCGTCTGCTCGGGCCCCCCAACGTGCTCCACCGTGAGGTGGGTCACCAACTCATGCATGGTGCTGAAAGTTTTGTTACACGACTTTTTGGGGTTCGTCAGCTGCTCGGGTTCGATCCACTTGCAGATGAGCTCCTGTTTGATGGGTTGCCTCATGTAGCGGAAAAAGGCCCCGGCTCCGTGGTGCGCAGCCATATTCATGTTCATGGGGCCATATCCGTGCAGCTGGGTGGACGCGTAATGGTCGGAGCGCGGGCTTGTGACATGGCCATACTGATCGGCCCGGCCGTACACGTCCCCTGAGAAGCCCAGTCGCATCTGGCTGTTCACCACGTTGGAGGACGCGTGGCTCGCCGCCTGCTCGTGAAGTCCAGGGAAGAGCAGGTGCCCCGCCGCGTCCGAGTGTCCGTGCGGCCCCGCAAAGCTTCCAGAGGCGAACAGACTGTGCTGTGCCCCGGTCGCGTCCCCGAAGCCCCGATTTCTGAACAAAAAGTCCCTGGTGGAGTTAAACGCCGCCGTTGAGTAGGAACCAACGTGCGTCGGGTGGTGATGGTGTCCCAGGGCGGCCGCTGCCGCATATCCGGGAGCCTGTGATGAGAACGCCGCCTGCCCCGAGCCGATGTCGTGGGAGCTGTGGTTGATCTTGAAGGCGCCCATGCCATCCGCGAACGGGTTGATCCCAAGCGCCACTTCCCGCTCCGCCACCTCTCCTGTTGAGTGATGCCGAGAGGAGCCGAAAGTAGTGACTCCTATGGTGGGATACTGTGGTCCTGCGTCCAAGAGCATCTTCAGTCTTGACTCTTCGAGACGACTGAGCGCAGAACTCAATGAAAACACGCGCAGATATTCTTCCTCCTCCTCTCTCTCTGCGGTTTATCTCTTCTGAACTCGAATCCACCGAATTTTCTGTTTACTTTTTTTTTCTTTCACGACGCGAGGAATTCCCCTGTACAGCTCATCTGATGCACATTTAAAAACCACGTATTTACTACATGCAATATTGTCTTTTTGCGGTTTATCTTCCTGTGGCGTAACTTTCACCTCCTCAGTCAGGCAGTGAGCTCTAGACTGATAGTCGCAATCATTCCTGCAGATAAATGAATTGAAAAGACAACACAGTCCAGCCCTGATGAATGGGAGAGAAGAGGGGGCGGTCACGTGGGGTCTGCAGCTGCTCCTTCATTGGTTCTTCCCAATAACATGCACTCACCAAATAACAATCCACCGTGCTGGGGCCCGAACCTCAATGTCTCTTGACATCATCAGTCGCAGATATTTTCAGATTGCTGACTGGGAATTTAGTAAAACTGCTAAATAACAAAGAATAAAACAGATATCAGCTTAGAACATAAAGTCAATATGGGTCAGAATGTCCATAAAGTGCCACGTTGTCTTTGTCAAACACACTGGGTAGAAAAAAAATAGTAACCTATTAGAGAAGATTGGAAACGTTTTGCTCAATTAAGCATTTTGCCTGGATCTGACGTCAGTCTGTCTATGTCCGTCCATATATTAAAAATCATTATTGGATGCATTGATATGCCAGGTGGTGTTTTTTCTCATGTAGACCCTTTTACAGTTTTGCAAGGTGACTGGATTTTTAATTTCATATATATGTCACGACCACTTCCTTCTTTAGATTGGTTTGTTATTGAGTTATCACATGGAAGGAATCCGAATCTGAATATCTAGTATAGGCTACCTCTCTAAAGTGTGGGCCATCTGTGATTTAGGTTTGTAGGCTACCACTGTTTAACTTGGACCTATACCACAATCCTTAATGCTTACATCGTGGTTTGCCTGTTTGCGGTACAGCAACTTGCCCCCTTCTTCGCAGGCTACTGGTGCATGAAGTCTGTTGGGTTCTCGAAGTTATCAAGTGGGGTTTGTGGTGCTCTCTCTACAGGAGCCTCCGGATGCTGGAGTTCAAAGCCAAAAGAAATAGACCAGGCCATAACATTATGGATCACTCGAAGTGGCCTCTAGATTCTGCACACTGGTTCCTCCAAATCAATCCTCAGAAACCGAGGAGAAAGGATCGGGTTAAGATCAAGGAGAATTTAAGAATCCTTGAGGCTTCTTTAAAGCATATAATTGATGTATCTCATAGAATTTAACTTAATATATTCAGCAGACCATATGATGATAAGATATGCAAAGCAGAGTTGCAAATCACGAGCAACAAGTTAAGATAAATGTAGCATTGGGAGGCATACAAACTGACTTTTATGCAAAAATATATTACAATGACTACTGGATTTAATTTAAATGTGTAATGCATGCTGTCTTATTAAATGTCCAATGATTACTTATGCGCACAAGTTATATGTCACCATGTTTATTGTCTCGGATTTACAGTAGATTTAAAGCCAACGCCATTTTTTATGAGACCTCGCTGTAATATGCGGTGTTTATGTTTATGATCCTGCACAGCTCTCCTGCCTACATGTCGCGAAGAGCGACTCAGTGAGTCACTGAGTGAGTGCATGCACAACTTGGGCCAGAAATAGCCCCTTCCCGACCAAGTTTTGCATTACACTGCTCGCTGCTGCTGCGATGCCCCTCTCTAAATGTGCAGCTGTGAGTCCGTCGCGCTCAAAGGCCTTTTAATAGACGTCTTTGGGATTCGGAACGTCTCCAAATATTGACTTATGATCTAAGGCGATGCTGTCAGTGTAGACAAATCAATTTGTGGGGCTTCTAAAACAAAACACAATAATGGCATTAGTGATCATCTGCAAGCCCAATATTTGAAATCAGTGTTACACCACTAGCCTTTCTTTTTTAATTTCACCGAAATAAGCACATTGAGACTTCTTAAAATACCACCTTGCCTTAATCCGCTGGAGCTTTTTACCCCCTGCAAACATAACTAAGATTTCAATTCAATGTATGTTATTATGATTATTTTTATCATCATTGTTACTGATCTCAAGGCACACATTTCCGCCTAAAAAGTACATCAAAGCCACCCGTTCTGTAGGCCAATACTCAAATTTCTAATCGCATTCATGTGAGTAATCGACTCAATTTTGAGGCTCACAATATATAATGTAAAATGTCATAAACGTAAAGTTTTAAGAAAATGTGAGATTTGGAAAACGTTTAAAAATGGTAAGGTGTCTTGATTTCATTAAAGACTTACCAAATACCACTATCAGAGAACAACACTGTTGCACATTTTAGGATATTTTACTTTTTGTTAAAGAACACATTTACATAACAACAAAGAATGTTGCAAATATAGCTCCAAAAACACTAGATATACTATCTTAATGCATTTTGTCTTTGTTTGCGTAATTATGACCATAATATTTTTTTTTTCTATTTTTGTGGTACTTACACTCATTTTATTTTGGAACTACAGTCTTTGACGGAACTACCTGTAACACTCATTTGCTGCCTTCCTTAGGTCTTATACAAAAAAAAGAAAGAAAAAAAAAGAGAAAAGAAAGAAAGGAAAGGAAAGGAAAAAAGGGGAATCATAACGTATCCCGTCTATTATATTTTTTACCCTCTTCGAAAAACTGGCCCCTGGTAACCCGCCTTCAATTGCTGAACACACATAGATATACAAACACACACACACACACACACACACACACACACACAGATCCAGATCTCCGGGGGCTGCTGGGACTGTCAACCCTGCTGCATGCGCTGTAGGTTAGGGGCGGTTGCATATTCTAATAAATAACTTCCTCCAAAGCGCTTATTTACTATATATTTACGTTGCTTTAAATGAAAACTTGACATGCGGTGCGATTCGCTGCACCCCCTACTCCCCACCCCCCACTAAAAGCGATCTTTTTATGTGTGTAAAGTTGTGCGTAATTTGCCAGTAAAGTTGGGGGCTGCACACGTTGCGGTGCAAAATGAGGACATCACTGCATTATTTATGATCGACAGAACTTGTATACATTCTTTCAAGTAACCGCTGAAAGAAATTAAGAGAACGGCTGCTCCTTTAACTGCAGCCACTTTTTTTTACTGCGTGAATATAAAAAAGGCGACAGTATATCCGTATGAAATTTTCGATAGTTATATTCTATCATAACCTTTGCATAACTATTTTTCGCAAGCCTTGCCTTCCGGCTTCGCGCATGCGTACTGGACGCGCGCTGTCACCGAGACATTTTTCATCACGCTGGAAACTGTCACCGGTGACGTCAATCACAGAACTCTGACCAATTAGAGAGCGGGATGATTGTTTAGCTCCACGGGCTCCAGCGCCTACCATGAATCTCTATTCAGTATCAAAGCGTCCTGCTGCTGCCTCTCAACCGAATGGGATTCCATGTTGTCTGCAGATAGACTTAACTTTATAAAGTTTTTTTTTATTTCTTTTTTTTTTCATTGCGATTAAAATATATTTGCCATCATCATTATTATTTTGCCTGCTGTCAAGTTATTCTAAAATTAGGAAGTAATGAGCGTGGATGCTTTGGGAAGCCCCGTGATGGACCCTGCGTTTTCCAAACGGAACACGGCGCTGAGATTAGTTGACTTGGCAGGGGCTCACCACCATCACCATCATCACCACCATACCCCTCAGAGCGTGACAGGCTTCCCGGGGTTCGGCAGCCATCCACACTCAATGGCTCACTCGCACCCTGGGGAGATTACTGCGGAACCCCGCCTGGGGCCGAGTCCATTCGGGCCAGAACACATGGGGCACTCCGCGGCCCTCAAAATCAGCCCAGCCCATCATTATCCCCACCACCATCACCACCACCACAATCATCATATGGCAGGCCACAGTGAAGTGGTCTCCAGTCAAACGGGAGCTTTTGGCCCGATTCAGCCGACGTCGGTCCCCTATCCTATGCCCCACACAGCCCAGGCTCTATCCGCAGGTAGGGATTTCCTCATCCGGAGAGATCTGACGGCTCAAACCATGCCCGTACTGACTGAACAGACAGCTGGTTCAGCCTCTCACCACGGAATGTTTGTCTCAACAACAGGTAGCTATCCCGGACACTATGGTCACCACCCTGACGCAGGGAACCACACCACCCTCTTCTCCGGACTCCACCACGAGCAATCTTCCAGCGGATCACCGGGTGGCCAGGCGCTGAATGGACAAATAAGGTTAGGACTACCTGGAGAAATGTACGTTCGGTCTGATCACTTGAGTCAAGTAGCAAGCTCCAGGGCTGATCCCTTCTCCGCCTCGCCTCTGCACGGCTACGGCGGTCTGAATCTAAACATGAATCTCGGCGCTCACCACCACCATCCCCATCACCCCCACCACCACCACCACCACGGAGGACCCGGGGCTTTTTTCCGCTACATGAGGCAGCCGATAAAGCAAGAGCTGATTTGCAAATGGCTGGAGCCGGAGCACTCTCCCAAGAAACTCTGCTCCAAAACTTACAGCACAATGCACGAACTCGTTACGCATGTGACGGTGGAGCACGTCGGAGGACCGGAGCAGGCAAACCACATATGCTTTTGGGAAGAGTGTCCCAGGGAAGGCAAGCCCTTTAAGGCGAAGTACAAGCTGGTGAATCACATTCGAGTGCACACAGGGGAGAAACCATTTCCATGCCCCTTCCCTGGCTGCGGGAAAGTGTTTGCAAGATCCGAAAATTTAAAAATCCATAAAAGGACGCACACTGGTGAGTGTCAGATTTTTATACAAATACATGCATTGGAGAAATATTAACTGCATGAAAAAAAAAATCGTAATTATTATTAATATAATTTTTTCATTTTTGCAGTAGACTTTTTGAAACTTTTTTTCTCGGTTCTACTGTTTCGAATATGCAGCAATAACCCACACGCAACAGACACCTTCTATAATAGTGTGCTACAAGTTACTTAAAGGTTGGCTGTGAAAGAGGAGGATTATGGTACAGCTCACTCATGCGTTTGACGGTTCAAACCTCTTGTTTACACAAAAAAAGACAGAGACCCACGTCATGTCTTATCTAAGAAGCTCAGTGCATGATGAAAAAAAAAAACTGTGAGAGTATTGCATCTTCCACATTTACTCATGCTTTCTTATAATTATCTTTATTAATATTCCACCTATTTTGAATAGACGTTTTAAAATTACACGATGGATTTTGAGTGCTTTTGGTTTTGC